CGAGGGGGGAGGAGAGGCAAGGTGGCGGGAGGGCGGGTAGGAGCGAAGTGGGGCATGGGCAGTACGGGCTGGCTAGTGGGGGGAGAGGGAGCTGAGGGGAAGGGGCAGCAGGGAGGCTGAGAGGGAAGTGGTGGGCAAGGGGAATAGGGCAGTGGGAAGTGGGGCTGGGGGGATGGGCTGGGAAGGAGGCAGGAGAATGGGGCACAGTGGTAGCCTTAGGGATGGATTCATCCATCCCCAGGGCCCCAGCTGCCATCCTCTGCCCTCGGCCAGATCACACCTGCTCCACACCCTGCGGCCGACAGCAAGCGGGGCCCTGCTGTGCTGGGGCAGCCGGCACTGAGGACAGGCACCCAGCAGACTCTGGAAAGGGGCAAGGGTTGCAAGCGGGAATACGAGGCACTACAGCTCTTTGCCTAGGCGCTCGTACTATACAGCATCATTCTTTGCCTCCTGCCTGCCCAGCAGAGACTGACAGAAGCTGATTACACCACTGTCCAGCTGAGATGGAGGCAGAAGGGAAGCATCAATGTATGGAGGGAGGCTGGGACCGCACCACTGCCGGAAGGAGTGACTATGTTTCCCTGCGCTGAATACGGGACACCTGGTAAAATTACTCATATTTAAGCAAGTTCAAAGGCAACCCGTCACAACTATGCAGGACTCACATTCCAATTAACGTCAGGGTGACTGCCCCTTCCTGAAAGAAAGGAATAGTGCTCCCTTGGAATCTTTTGAATGACCTGCTATCATTAAGGCTGTAGGGTTCATACGTGACAAGGTCACACACACACACACACACACACACACACACACACACACACACACACACACACACACACACACACACACACACACACACACACACACCTCTCTCTCTCTCACCCAGGCCAGAGATGACTGACTGATCCAACCCTCCATGTCTGGCTGGGGCTCCAGATGGACCCACCGTTCCAGGGAGCTGGCACAGCAAGCCCAGGGCAAGTTGTGGGGAGGAGCACACAGGGTCACATGCTCCCGTCCCCAGATTGCTGCTGGGGTTCACACCAGAAGGTGGCCAGCAGCAGCCTTGCAGCACTGTGCGGGAGGGAAACGATGACCTGGCCATCTTCCCCCCGCCACCTACCCTGTTCCTCTGTGGCTGGAGAAAGCTGTGCGCCCAGTGTTGAAAGGCAGCTAACACCTCCAGGCTGCTGCTGGCCACTGACAAAACCCACCCAGCTCCTGTCCCCCAACTACAGCATGGACAGGAAACGGTTAAGCCCTAAGGCTGCCCTGTGCGCCAGCATCCAGTGAACCTGACTGCAGGGGCTTCAGCCGAAGGAAGTTAAATTTAGATTAACTAACTAATTGAATAGTCAATAGGATTTCCATCGACTAGCCGATTAGTCTATAAGAGCGCTCGGCCTTTGAACTGTAGCAAGAGCCAGCTCGGAAACCACACAGGAAGCATGGAGCCAGCAGGGGATTGGCCCATGCTCCCTGCCCTGGCTCAGCCTTTGAAATATACAAGAAGCCCTGTGGGTTGTACATTTCAAAGGCTAGTACATTCCTTGTACATTTCAAAGGCTCAGGTGCCATAGGGAGCCTGGGGCCAGTAGGGGAGTCCCCACTGGCCTGCCCCAGCTCCCCACAGGGCTTCAGTTTTTGAACTGTACAAGAGCCCAGTATAACGACAATTTCAAAAGCAGAATCGCAGCAGAAGCGGTGGGAGTGGAGACTGCAGCAGTCCTGCTCTCTCTGTTTCCTACTGCAAAGACGGTGCTGGGGGGAACCAGCTTTAGCCAGCTCTCCTCCAGCACCGGCTCCTGCACACACAGCCCTTGCTGCCTCTGCCAGAGGCAGTGAACGGGGGGAAGCAACTAGTCTCATCACTAGTCGACTATGCAATAGGCTTATGCTTATCGGACCATCGACTACACGCTCACATCCCTACTTCAGACAATCTGGCCCGAGAGGAGGGTGCCTAGGGGACCAGGTGCCAGGGTAGGGCAGCAGGGGAAGGGCTGCTGTTGCAGAGCCTGCAGGAGCACTGTGCATACCGGGGACTGGCTCCCCTCTCCTGCTCCAGAGCTTAGTTGACCCTCCTCCTGGTCCACACACTGGGTGGGAGGGGCTTGAGCTTTCCCAGGCCCCAGCCCTGCCAGAGCAGAAGGGGAAGGATGGAGCCTGCCCACCAAGCTGTTGGTGAGCTGACTGCACCGACTCAGGACTCTGGGGGGTGGAGGAACAGTGGGGCTGGTAGGGGAGGGCAAAGGGGCACAGCAAGAGAGGACAGTGAGGGGCAGCATGTAAAGAGCTGATGAGTGGGCAGCAGAGATGACACGTAGCTGCCTGCCTGCAGGCACCGGCCCCCATAGTGCACAGCTATTGCTGGCCACAAATGGGAGGTCGGGAGGACAGGGCTGCTCCCCAAGAGCCGGCATGCAGCAAGAACAGCACTGGTGGATTAGCAGGAGGAGCGGCCAGCCCCACATGCTGCACCCTTTTCCATCATCAGCCACTGAACTCAGCAGCAGGACTGGCCAGTACTGGGGGAGAGGGAGGGAGGAAATCAGAACACACAAGACAATTTGCCCATTTTCAAGAAGTCAGGACACCTGTAAGAGTCTAAATATTAGTCTGTCCTTTTAAAGTAGATCTGGTCACCTTATGGAATATGCTTGACCTTTGCCGAAGTGTTTGACTATGTTAGTGGCCTACAGGGTTCACAGTTGACCCTACCTTATTATTAGATGACAGATATCTATTCCTCCACTCAACTGGGGCCAGGATGCTTGAAATTGGCCCCAAATGGACCAATTAAGTAATATTATACCCATGCAAGTAGAACTCCTTCCTAAACCCAAGGGCTGTGTCTAGACTGGCAAGTTTTTCCGCAAAATCAGATGATTTTGTGGAAAAACATGCCAGCTATCTACAGTGGCCGCTTGAATTTCCGGAAAAGCAGTGACGATCTCATGTAAGATCATCAGTGCTTTTCCAGAAATACTATGCTGCTCACATTTGGGAAAAAGACTTTTCCAAAAGACTTTTGCGCAAAAGGGCCAGTGTAAGCAGCACAGTACTGTTTTCCGCAAAAAAGCCCCGATGGCGAAAATGGCGATCAGGGCTTTTTTGCGGAAAACCACGTCTAGATTGGCCACGGACGCTTTTCCGCAAAAAGTGCTTTTGCAGAAAAGCATCCTGCCAATCTAGACGTGCTTTTCCAAAAATGCTTAACGAAAAACTTTTCTGTTAAAAGCATTTTTGGAAAATCATGCCAGTGTAGACGTAGCCAAGCAGTTAGCATCATGACCCCTCAGGAAAAAGTTATTTTCTTCTAACATGGAACTGTAGTAAGCTAAAGAAAACCAAAATTATTCCTGAAGCTGTTCTCTCTCTGTTTCCGTCTAGTGCATCTGTTCCAATCATTCCCAACCTTCCATGCTTGGATTTCTGCGACAGCGGTAAGGAAACAGCCTCACATTTCCCTCAACGTGAACAAGGTAACAAACATCTAATAAAAGTTAAAGAATCCCAGCAAGACACCAGCTTCATCTAGAGTTAGGTCTTGTCTTCTGACCTCAAGGAGTTTTGTCCAATTGAAAGTCACTTGAATTTTCAAATATCACAGTGAGAAACTGCTGTCCAGTAGCTTCAGCAAGGTTACCTCCCTTCACTATGGCAGCCACCAGAGTACCTTTGTAGTTAGGGTCACGTCAGTCCTGCTGGGCTTGGAACCAGCTGAAGCTACTTCCTCTTCCTTCTTAATTAGTTTTGACCATACAGAATTTCCATCTGCAATTTGTTTTGCTGGTAGGAGCTGGCGCTGTTCAGTACGTTTCCCTGTTTTTTTCAGGCCTGGGTTTCCTACTTTAACTTTGAGTATGCTGACAGTTAAAGAAGAAAACCAAAGCACCTTTCAGATGTGGACCCTCTGAGCTCCATAACTTTTGAACAAGACCACTCAGACCTAAAACGTACCTGTGCGATTAGCACCCAGAGGCATATACAAGTTTAACAAAATCTGCTTTAAAACCGGTTTCAATTAAAACGGGACAACATTGCTCTGTAGATGAAACCTTAAAAAAGACTGTGTGGAACCTTGGAGCCTACATCCCTCCTGTGAAAGATTCTATATGTTAGTCTGGATAAATAGTTATTGCAATTTAAAGGTATCACCTTCTCCAGCTCAGAACATTTGCCCAAGATTTAAATCTCAGGACCCCTGATATAAGATGTTCCCTCTAAAACCAATAAATACAAAAGGTTTTTCAACTGCACAGTCACCACTAGCCACGTATGCTCCTCAGTTATCTTCAGCAGCAGCCCTCTTTGGCCTTGCGTGGCTTCAGTAAATCACAGGGTCCTTATCAATCTTCTAAGTAAACTGGAGAAAACTAACATCTCTCTCCCCTGTGCGTTGCTAAGAGTGGGTTTACTTTGTTATGAGTCCTATTTTGATTCCACTTGCACAGTACCAGAATTAAATCCATCCACCTGAAATTTTGGTCGCACACCTCTGCTGGAGAAGTTTTAACATTTGCTTTTGCAGGTGTGAGGCTTGTTGGACACAAATACTTAATTTGTACAGCTGAGAAAGCAAAGTTATTTTACACGTCGAAAAGTGTTAGATTTTTGTTGCTGTTGTCATGAGAACATGGTACCTTGGAAACAGCTTGGGAACCTTTGTCCTCCATCAGGACTGGTGCCTTGTACAATGTTCTAATTTTGGAGGAATTACTCTTAGAAGGGGTCTAAACATTTCCCCAAGTTTTCAGCACTCCATGAGCACCGTGCAAACTTTAGAAACAGTCTAGGCAAAGTTATTAAACCACGCCCTCCCTCCACACACACACAGCAACCTAGACCATTTCCTTACAAAGAATCTTCAATGCAAACTACCAAGAGCAATTCCATTCAGTTTTTGTTAAGAAAATCCAGGAATTCTCCTCCTTACAATAACACTTGGCTGTATATTTGCTCCCCCCCAATTCAGTCAAAGCTAGACAGACCTCTGGTTGCATTTCCTATACCTTGTAACTAGCAATTTCCTCCTTCCTCCCACCCAGTGCCAGGAAGCAAACATGACTGAGGTTTCTACAGCAGACATCATTGGCTCTGACAGGAGCACCAGAGAACTGCCTTGATCTCTCGGTGTCTGAATACACCCCTATACTCACGCCCTGACTACAAGGGTAATCATCTTTGTGCAAGTTAGCTTGTGGAAGGTACCCTCTGAAGACCCAATTGGCTGGCTGGTATTGTTCTAATAAAATGTGTGCAGCAACGTTGTATGTGAAATTAAGATTCCCGGACATCATTAATACACGTTGCAAACACCACCGCCCTCCTCAGGCAGAAGGCAGGTGTGTCAAACAAAGGAAGGAATGTGTGCTTGCTGTAGATTGCATTTAGGTGGTAAACAGAGTCATCAAGAAGGAAGGGAAAACAAAGAAAGCTTTTAACTGGCGAAAAAGCCAGCATGGAATATCCTTCCCCATAGTCAGACTCAGGTGGAAATGTTCCACCAGAAGGGAACTGAAGCTATGAAAGGAGGGTCTCCCAGGGGCCCCCCTCCCGTTTGCCTAGGCATCACATCTAGGGTGACACAGGAAAACAATCATTGGCTGGGGGGAGTGGGGAGGGGGGACAGAGGGATCCTCATGACCTGTAAGTTTGAGCAGCAACATTGCCAGAAGCTTGTAGGAAGAAACTTTACTTCAGTCTAATAGCATTTGCTACGCTAGCACTGGAAAGCGTTTCATCTGCTCTTCTCGTAACCATTTCTGACTTAGGCCTCATTACTCGTGCTCTCTTGCAATCCCTCTTTGTAGTTAACAGCTAGTTTTACTGTTTTCTCTCACCCAGTGAGAGTCTGCTAACGCCATTTAATAGAATAAGCAGATAGATTATCCCCCAAAGGAATAATGGACTTAAACTATTTGTAAGATCATAAGAATGACCTACTGGGTCAGACCAAAGGTCCATCCAGCCCAGTAGCCTGTCTGCTGTCAGTGGCCAATGCCCGGTGCTCCAGAGGAAATGAGCAGTGATATATTTATTCCCTGTCGCTGGCTCCCAGCCCTGGCACACACAGGCTAAGGACACCATCCCCGCCCAGCCTGGCTAACAGCCATTGATGGACCTGTCCTCCATGAACTTATCTAGCTCTTTTTTGAACCCCATTATAGTCTTGGCCTTCACAACATCCTGTGGCGAGGAGTTCCACAGGTTGACTGCATTGTGCAAAGAAATCCTTTGGTATGTTAGTGAAGGAATAAATAACTTTATTCTATTTTTCCACACTGTTCATGATTTTCAAGCCCTCTAACATATCCTCCACCCTTTAGGTCATTTCTTTTCCAAGCTGAAAAGGTCCAGTCTTATTACTCTCTTCTCACACAGAAGCCATTTCTTTCCCCTAATCATTTTTGTTGCCCTTCTCTGAACCATTTCCAATTCAATAAATCTCTTTTTGAGATGGGACGACATCTGCATGCACTATTCCAGATGTGGGCGTCCCATAGATTTATACAGAGGCAGTAAGATATTCTCTGTCTTGTTCTGTCCCTTTCTTAACAACTCTCAATATTCTGTTTGCTTTTTTGACTGCCGCTGCACACTGAGTGGATGTTTTCAGAGCACTCCCCACAAGAACTCTCAGATCTCTCTCGAGTGGTAACAGCTAATTTAGACCCCAGCATTGTATACACAGAGTTGGGATGACGCTGGCTGGGCAGCACTAGACATAGGTTTCTGGGGGAGATCCAGGTCTGGGGGTGCATTAGGATCACCCTGCAGTGTAACCCAGGCTGGTGAGAACCAGGGAGTGGCTGGCCGGCTGCAGTCACACACAGACACTCAGGGTGTGGCTGGCATGTGGGAAGGCTGTTTGTGAGTGGCTCAGGTCACGTGGATTGGGGAGAGGAAGAGAGTGGGGGTCCTGGGCTGGGAGCGGAGTCGCATAGGAAGCTCAGCCGCCCCGCCCCGACTATACAGGTCAGAAATGTTGTTTACTTGCACTACTGGTCACACCCTGCCTTCAACACAACAGTCTCCTCCTCTCTGAGGGGACCAAGTCCTGAGAGAAGGGAAGGGGAAACCCTGGCAGACACAGTTCCTGGTAAGGTGCACTCCTGTGCGCAAAAAGTTCTTCCCTTGCTCACCGACTCGAGAGGCGTGCGGCTGCTCCAGCAGGTGGGGCTGGCTGAGATGGCGTGGTGAGGGAGCTGCTAAGGTGAGGGGCCAGGACCTGCTGCCTCCATGTGCCAGGGGAAAAGCCTGCTCCAGTGACCAGGGCTGCCATGTGGCAGAGGTTGGAGGGGCCTGTTCTGGCACCTGGGGCCTGGAATAATCAGGACGTGCTGCATGGCGGGTACGGGGAGAGGGGGGGAGGGGTTCTGCTCCGGCAGCTGGGAACAGGACGTGTTGCATGGCAGGAGGAGGCCGTGCCATATGGGGTATTCTGCTCCAGCGACCAGGGTCGGGCCGTGCCATATGGGGTATTCTGCTCCAGCGACCAGGGTCGGGCCGTGCCATATGGGGTATTCTGCTCCAGCGACCAGGGTCGGGCCGTGCCATATGGGGTATTCTGCTCCAGCGACCGGGGTCGGGACGTGCCATATGGGGGGTTCTGCTCCAGCAGCTGGGAACAGGACGTGCCATATGGGGGGTTCTGCTCCAGCAGCTGGGAACAGGACGTGTTGCATGGCAGGAGGAGGGGGGTATTCTGCTCCAGCGACCGGGGTCGGGACGTGCCATATGGGGGGTTCTGCTCCAGCAGCTGGGAACAGGACGTGCCATATGGGGGGTTCTGCTCCAGCAGCTGGGAACAGGACGTGTTGCATGGCAGGAGGAGGGGGGTATTCTGCTCCAGCGACCGGGGTCGGGACGTGCCATATGGGGGGTTCTGCTCCAGCAGCTGGGAACAGGACGTGCCATATGGGGGGTTCTGCTCCAGCAGCTGGGAACAGGACGTGTTGCATGGCAGGAGGAGGGGGGTATTCTGCTCCAGCGACCGGGGTCGGGACGTGCCATATGGGGGGTTCTGCTCCAGCAGCTGGGAACAGGACGTGCCATATGGGGGGTTCTGCTCCAGCAGCTGGGAACAGGACGTGTTGCATGGCAGGAGGAGGGGGGTATTCTGCTCCAGCGACCGGGGTCGGGACGTGCCATATGGGGGGTTCTGCTCCAGCAGCTGGGAACAGGACGTGCCATATGGGGGGTTCTGCTCCAGCAGCTGGGAACAGGACGTGTTGCATGGCAGGAGGAGGGGGGTATTCTGCTCCAGCGACCGGGGTCGGGACGTGCCATATGGGGGGTTCTGCTCCAGCAGCTGGGAACAGGACGTGCCATATGGGGGGTTCTGCTCCAGCAGCTGGGAACAGGACGTGTTGCATGGCAGGAGGAGGGGGGTATTCTGCTCCAGCGACCGGGGTCGGGACGTGCCATATGGGGGGTTCTGCTCCAGCAGCTGGGAACAGGACGTGCCATATGGGGGGTTCTGCTCCAGCAGCTGGGAACAGGACGTGCCATATGGGGGGTTCTGCTCCAGCAGCTGGGAACAGGACGTGCCATATGGGGGGTTCTGCTCCAGCAGCTGGGAACAGGACGTGCCATATGGGGGGTTCTGCTCCAGCAGCTGGGAACAGGACGTGCCATATGGGGGGTTCTGCTCCAGCAGCTGGGAACAGGACGTGCCATATGGGGGGTTCTGCTCCAGCAGCTGGGAACAGGACGTGCCATATGGGGGGTTCTGCTCCAGCAGCTGGGAACAGGACGTGCCATATGGGGGGTTCTGCTCCAGCAGCTGGGAACAGGACGTGCCATATGGGGGGTTCTGCTCCAGCAGCTGGGAACAGGACGTGCCATATGGGGGGTTCTGCTCCAGCAGCTGGGAACAGGACGTGCCATATGGGGGGTTCTGCTCCAGCAGCTGGGAACAGGACGTGCCATATGGGGGGTTCTGCTCCAGCAGCTGGGAACAGGACGTGCCATATGGGGGGTTCTGCTCCAGCAGCTGGGAACAGGACGTGCCATATGGGGGGTTCTGCTCCAGCAGCTGGGAACAGGACGTGCCATATGGGGGGTTCTGCTCCAGCAGCTGGGAACAGGACGTGCCATATGGGGGGTTCTGCTCCAGCAGCTGGGAACAGGACGTGCCATATGGGGGGTTCTGCTCCAGCAGCTGGGAACAGGACGTGCCATATGGGGGGTTCTGCTCCAGCAGCTGGGAACAGGACGTGCCATATGGGGGGTTCTGCTCCAGCAGCTGGGAACAGGACGTGCCATATGGGGGGTTCTGCTCCAGCAGCTGGGAACAGGACGTGCCATATGGGGGGTTCTGCTCCAGCAGCTGGGAACAGGACGTGCCATATGGGGGGTTCTGCTCCAGCAGCTGGGAACAGGACGTGCCATATGGGGGGTTCTGCTCCAGCAGCTGGGAACAGGACGTGCCATATGGGGGGTTCTGCTCCAGCAGCTGGGAACAGGACGTGCCATATGGGGGGTTCTGCTCCAGTGGCCGGGAACACGTGTCAATCAATTGGCACACATCCCAGCCTGCGCACAGGGCCTCAGTAGAGGGAACAGTGCTTGCAGGCACTCCTGGGCATCGAGGAAGCTGGCCTAAAGGGCGCATCCTGCTGTGCCAGGAGGCAGCAGGTGAAGCAGCAACTGTGGAACTGGGCTGTCTAGTCTGGCGCATGGCGAGCAGCAGGCACCGAGCCGGAGGCGCCCGCACCAGGCAGGCGCGATTGCCCCCCACGTGCTCCGGGGCATTTCAGGTGCACGCTGTGTGGCAGGAGCAGCAGGATGAAGCGCTCGGGCAGCTCGCCAGGGCGCAGGTGGCCCCTGCAGCGCCTGTCCCAGGCTCACTCCTGACGCAGACTGGCCGGGACAGTAACTCACTGAACAGGGAGGTTAAGTCAGTCGATACCGAGCAGCTTCCTCGTTCAACGGGCACTGTCCAATAGCCACGCAGCGTCTGCCCCCGCCTCCCGGCCTGGCCTCTGCTCAGGCACCACTCCTGTGCAGGAACTCTGGTTCTTCCAATCAGGCAACAGAAACAATACCATGTGACTTAGGACCAATCACTTATCAGAACTGTGGGGGGCAAATCCCAGCAGACACTGCAGGAGAACTCCATAGGCAAGTATTGGGACGCGAATCCAAACGGTTCTGGGCACATTCAGTGGGTGCCTTGCACACGGAGAAATGGACCAAGCCACAGCGGATCGGTTATTCGCTACATGGCTGAACCAGCTTCTGCCGGAAAACTCACTGCTGGGGCCAGAGCCTTTGCGGGTGCCAATCAGAACAGGCCGTTGCCTTACCCCGAAGCGTGCTGCACCCAGCGGCTGAGAATCAGGCCTGGATTGATTCCATCACCTCTTCTTCTGACCTCCGTCCACCACCTCACAACAGGGGCTGTAGGGGAGCAGTGCTCAGACTGACATTGAGCCCCCTTTCCCACAGCAGCCTGGAGTGGGACCCCCCCGCCTCAAATCAAAACCATTTTCATATTTAGCAGTGACAAATGCTGGAGGCGACCGAGGGCACAACCCCCAGGGGTGAAGCCCTGCTCTAGGGCATCTCCAACAACTGCTGAAACAAAGGCTGATGCAGGTAGGTCCGTTGGCTTCTCAGCAGCGTCCTCCTCATCCTGGCTTGCTTGCATTACTGCTGGGGACCTGCTGCTTCACGCCGTCTTGTGCCTCATTTACGTAGGCTTCCAAGTTTGCTCTGCAGCTTGTCTCTTCGTGTCTCCGCCTCTCTTATAACCGACTCTGCACTCTCCATGGTCAAGGCGAGTTCTGGAGCCAGCCTTTCCAAGATGGGCGCAGCTCGTGTTGGCATGAGCATAGTCCTCACCCTGTTTATATGATCAGCTGTCGCCAAGGCTGCAAGCTACTGAGCTGGCTGCAGCAGCTTCAGGGCTGTGAACATTTACCATTTTGTAACCCACACCTCTCCCGCCAACACCCTACCTTCCGCACAGCAGAGCTGGAGGCACACGGGTGGCAAGCTCGCAGAATGCACCCTGGTGCCGGCGGGGGGCGGTTTCAAATGCTCGGAGCTCAGTTAAACTCCGTTTCTGCTGACTAAGGGCAGACCCTCTCCCCTGAGAAGTACCTCCCTGCTCCTCTCCCAAGTTTTGTAACCCACACCTCTCCCGCCAACACCCTACCTTCCGCACAGCAGAGCTGGAGGCACACGGGTGGCAAGCTCGCAGAATGCACCCTGGTGCCGGCGGGGGGCGGTTTCAAATGCTCGGAGCTCAGTTAAACTCCGTTTCTGCTGACTAAGGGCAGACCCTCTCCCCTGAGAAGTACCTCCCTGCTCCTCTCCCAAGAAGAATGTCAGGCCGAGGCAGCCCTGTTTGCTGTGATGTGGTTTGCGTTAGTCAGGTGCAGGAGTACACCACACCCAGGCAGTGTGTGGGTTACACACAGGGATTTGCATTCTTGCTGACTAAGCTTAAAGGTACAGCCATTCTCTAGGCCCTCCCACCTCAAGATTTCCAAGCACCAAATGGCAGCTGCCAGCCGTGGAGCTGGGCCAGTATTATCCCCATTTTACTGATGGGTAAACTAAGTGCTCTGCCAAGATCACCCTGAAAGTCTGCAGAAGAGTCCGGTGCAGAATGCAGGTCTGTTTCAGACAAGCACAGGCCTGCATTCCACAGCTAAGCCAGCCAAGGAACGGCACAGCTAAGAAACAAGCCTATATTCACAGGTCACAAATGCCTGGCGTCCCTCCATGGCTGGCAGAGAACCCCACTTCGGTACAGGAGAAAATTTCGGGAGCGACGGCAATCCTAAGTGAAAAGAAGTTTGAATTTGTGAAGAGTTTTCTGCAAGAGACGTGTATTTAGAACACAGCTTGACTTCTCTCCCCTAACATGCCCCTTGCTAAAGGCATTGTAGCAAGAGCCCCCCAGCCTCTGGTAGCAGGGCAAGGCATCATGCTGCCACGCGGTGTACAGTTTCCTCCTAGCGTCAGACAGGTATCACATCGGCCCTCTAGCGGACACACCGAGCTAAGGCACACAAGCCGACCCCCTCCCCCAGCAGGGAATTGCACACTTCTTGCTACGACACAGGCTGTCCCGATACACAGATGCGCAGGCTCTGCGCGCCGCATGGCTGGGCCAGGATCTCGCCCTGCGCACGGGCAGGAAGACGCAGTGTGGTTTTCCGTCTGGAGCCTGCGCTCCGGGCTGGCTTTTCTTATTCCGTGGGAGGAAAGAGCCTTTCCTGGGCCAACTAGCTGCAAATGAGAGAAGTTCTGGAGCTAACTGGAGGTCGTCCTCACGTCTGGGCATGGGGCCTGCAGAAGAGCTCTGTGGAGCTGTGTCTCCAGTATCCCGGGGCCAGCACAGCTACAGCAACACTGCAAATGGCCAGTCTACCCCGTTCCTTGACCTTGCATTGACCTTAACAGTGTCAGCAGGGGGGCCAACAGCTTCTGTGGGCCCCCAGGCAAGACTGGGGGGGCTAGTCTGGCTCCATGCTCCCAAAGGTGGGGGCTCAGAGGAAAGGGGCAGGCCGGGGCTGCCAGCTCTCAGGAGTGCACTGGAGTCTGGGGGTGCTGTGCCCCCCCCAGCTGCCTGCAAAGCAGTACTGGGCCGCACAGCACTCCGGCAGCTAGTCACAGGGCCTGCGTCTCCCCTGAGCCCCAGGGCAACTGCCCCCTCCCCCACCCCACTGGCTGGCCTGGGTTTCAGAAGTTCTGCTACAGATCAGACTGGATGTGACGCGTGCAGGACGGCTGGCTGCCGAAAGCCCATGCTCACTACTCTCCGGGGAGCCCAGCCCCTCTACTCCATCGCATTCCTGGTTCACACAGGGAAAGGCCGGCAACACTCGGGTGGTGTGCGCCTGGGGATACAGTGCAGCTGAAAGGCTGAGTGTGGCCACTGAGATGGGGGGTGACAGCTAACACGAAGCACCCAGGGCGGGGCCGAGGCAGACTGCTCTCCTAAGGCTGGGCTCTCACGGATTGCCCGCCACACTCCATGCGAGGGAAGGGCTCCAGGGGACAGGACTATGCTAAGCAAAAGCTTACAGGCTAATGCTATAGACGATACGCATTTCCTGCCACTGGCCAGCAGCCCGGTTCACGCCGGGTCCGGGACCCAACCCCGCTGCAGCTCTGGATTTAACATGCATGAGGAGCCAGGCAGGCAGCCCAGCTCAGTTCCGGCAGCAGTGTGGCACGACAGGCAGCCAGTCCATGAGAGGAGCTGGTTTTTGAACTGGCTCCCCTCCCGGACCAGCTCCCGCCTAGCACCCCACCTGGCAGAGGCAGCAGGGGGATCCTCAGTGGCAGCTGCTGGTCCCACCCCCAGGGTATGTCTACACTACCCCGCTAGTTCGAACTAGGGTGGTAATGTATGCATACCGCACTTGCAAATGAAGCCCGGGATTTGAATTTCCCGGGCTTCATTTGCATAAGCCGAGCGGCGCCATTTTTAAATGCTGGCTTGTTCGAACCCCGTGCCGCGCGGCTACACGCGGCACGGGCTAGATAGTTCGAACTAGCAAGCCATTCCGCACTATCTGTACGCCTCGTTCCACTAGGGTGGTAGTGTAGACATACCCCCAGGGGCTACAGACTAGTCGAGTAACCAACAATTCATGAGGTTGCCCAACTTCAATTAACTGATACGGAACAACCCTCGACTGTGGCATGGGAAATGGTGCTGAAGAGCATCACATGGACAGGAAAAGAGCTACCGGAGTCAAGAAGCCAGCTCACGTGCAGCCTGACCATCAGGAGAAACGCTTCGGTCTGAACACAGCTGGCAGCAGCAATGGCTTCCCGGAGCCAGTGCCGAGAAAGTTTGGTCGCTAGTGCAGGCAGCACTAGGCAGCCCCCAGCTGCATCACAGCACCCCTGAGACTTGGCTCCACCATGTCTCCCTCTCCCTCACTGCCCTGGGGCAGAAGAAAATGCCCCATCTCCCCAGCAGATGAGCCATTCCAAAGCACCAGATCAAAGCACTGCCAGCTAGTAACAGGTTTGCTGAGCCAGAGAGTTTCCAAGTGTAGGCAGATCCCAGGTGTACAGAGCTACACGTTGCAGCCACTTGAGCGTGGGGCAGGTCGCAGGAATGGACAGCTGCTCCCAGCCAAAGGAGACAGACGCCTGGGACGGGGGGTGCTTTCATGTCCAGGTTTATTAGTGGTGCATTAGTACCATAAAATAGTTGATGAGGTTGCGCACATTGCAGTTCATTCCAAAAAAGGCTATTTACATGTCGTTTGTCTTCATATAAAACCTAGAACCCAACAATACAATGACACAGATGGACAACAGATCTACAGTGGTAACGTCCCTGCGCTGGACGTCTGAGCAAGGCTTGCTGCACATGACTATCACACACACTAGTGGCCCTGCCCGTGGCAAGGTGTGGAGTCCAGATGTGCTGCATGCGAGTCAGACACACTGCGTTCTGGGACTCCTTCCAGCAGGCTGCGTGGAGAAGGAAGCCAGCCTAACAGGGATTTTGAGGTTAAACCAAGTAGGCTTCCTTTTAAAGGAATCAGTGTCCTGCTACTTGCAAAACTGACTCCTCCTCCTCTCCAGCATCACACTCTGAAGCCACTGCAGAAGGCCAGGTGAGCTCAGCATCCCCACGCTCCCGCCCAGCGCTTTGCAAGGCGCCTCATGAAGGCCTGGGGGAGACACTGTGCTCAGATGGCCACTTCTCACGCTGGGCGTCCCAGCGGAAGGCCATGCTAGAGGTTAGTGAGTTGCCACAGTTCCAGCGGCTGGCGGGTTTCTCCCCTCAGCATCTGTAAGCAGACAGTATGAAGATGGACAAACCACACAGCTGGCTCTTTCACTTTCAGCTCAGACCCCGCCAGACTGTCAGACGCACCCGTCTTTCCAGTCCTTCGCACAAGGGCAGAAGAGACTCCATTCTCACCACCATGTTCTGCTTACAGGGTTCGAAGGCACCGGGTACTATTTCTTGAACCCCTAAGTGTAACCAGTCTTCGAATGTTTTCTTGGTACAGAACCACTGGCCAGACAGACCCCAGGTGGCAGCAGCAGCTAGCCACGGACTAACAGGACACACGGCAGTAAGAGTGGTTTGGGACATTAATGGAGCAATGCTGGTCAGTTTGGTTTTTAGCTGAGTCAATGGCCTATAGGTATGGCCATGCCATACAGATCCTTCCCATTCTGCTGCTTTGCCCTCAGCTCTCCTCCCTAGGGGAGGACAAGGCTTGTCATTAACACAGCAAAATGAAGCCAAGGGGAGGTTGCCAAGTGCCCTCAGCCTAATGCCAACGAGAGGACTAGGAAACTTACAGCGCTCAAGGGGCTGTAGCTGGGCTGAGCAGAAAACCGACTGAGAACTGCAGGTGAAATGGGGCGAGTGAACACTGCTGCTCCCGCAGCTGCTTTCTTTCAGGCAAAGAAAAACATGCTAGCCAGCAAGCACTCAGTAGGCAAGGCCACGGCCTGGCGTGCCACGGTGGAGTTCTGCAATGGCGTGGAGAACTGGAGTCCAGGGCACCAGGGATCTCCTTGGATCCCACCTCCAAGGGCGGGCTGGGGCAGAGCACCTCCGGACAGGGCAGTGCTGGAGTCTTGGCTTGGGGCTCCCCGGAGCAATCAGGGGAGCAAAGGGACGAAGGCCAGAGCAGCAGTCCCAGTCAGCGGGGGCGGAGAGTTGATGGGTGAGGGGCAGCGTGCAAGCAGCAGAAAGCTAGTCTGCTCTGTCCCTCCCCTCCTGCCTGGGCGCTGCCAGAAACGTGGGGCCGAAGAAAGCAGCTAACGCAGGCTAGGCCCGGTCTGGCCAGCGAGACAGCTTCCTTTGAGTCACATTTGGGGGGAGGCCTCTGGAGGTCTTTCCTATTTTAAACCTGGGGCTGTGGCGGTTACGGCTCATGAGGCTCGGCCTGCTGCACTCAGCACTGCAGAGGCAATCAAGCAGCACCCTGATGGCCCCTTTCTAGGCCTAACTGGCCCCACACTCCCCGGTGAGCCCTGCCCTGCCCGAGTACAATGGTGTCGTCAAAGGCCAGCTCGACGGGGGGTTCCTCAGCCCTGGATTGGTTGGCTGGGGAGCACCATGTGGGAGACCGAGCAGGGGTGGCTCCCGTCACTGACTCAGCCCAATCACTTCCCGGCACTCGGCTACGGCAGACCTTCGGCTCAGGCTCCTACAATGGTTTCCCAGCAGCCAGGGATGAAGTTGGTCACCGGAAGCAGCTCAGAGAAAGCAACCATGGCATCAAACTGACACAAAGCACGGCCAGGAGACCAGGGATCCAGCGCCAACCTGGGCCTGGAAGCAGGGCAGCACCACGACCAGCTCCCAGGAACGAAGCTTTCCCCAGGGCCAGCTCCGGCCTGCGGCTCACGGGGTGTTTCCTTGCAAGCCAGGCTACGCCAAGCGAGCGGCGGTGTGAGCGCGAGGGGCCCCGGGGCGGGAAGCGCCGCTGGGGAAACGTACGTCAAGTGACGTGCTGACCCGCGGGAAGGAGAAACAGCCACCGCGTATTTGACAGGCAGGAGCTGGCAAGTCCCATGGTGTCTGCAGGGGGTGGGCGTACAGAGGAGCAACGCGCAAACCCTGGCCAAGAGCCAGTCCAAGTCCTTGCAGGGCCAGGCCCGCGGGCAGAGCAGCAGCCAGGGGACAGCGATGATTTCAGCCACTCTACTCGCACAGAGAAGAGGGGTTTGAGGAGGAACCTGAACCGATTTCACTGAAAGGCTCCGTGGCGGCACGAAGCAGCTTTCTGCGTGTTCCTGGCCTGCGGCTGCCAGGCAGCACCGCGCAGTCACTGAGCCATGGCACCGAAGAGAGATTCCTTCCGCCCTGGCCAAGGGACCTGCCCTTTCCTCAGAGGGGAGCACTGCTGGGGGCCCTGCCAGAGGGCGGCGAGCTGGTTCCTGGCCATGGCTGTAATTGCACTAGAAAGGGTCTGTCTACCGGAGCCCCTCCGGCAGGACGCGCCTTTCCAGAGTGACCCATGTGGGAGGCAGAACCGGCTCCCTGCCCCTTGCATATCTTCCTTCAGTCCCTGTCCCAAAATGCTGGGGCTGAAACTGCCTTGGAGGGGGCAGGGGAAGGAGCCACGTGGGGTGTATGCCCCTGACCACGGGCCCGAGCAGCGCAACCTGCCCATGAGACTGGGACCCCCAGAAGCCTCCCTCACGCAGCTGCACCCTGCCCGCCGCAAGGATGGAGGGATGGCTCCTTTGCAAAGCAACAAAGCCGGGGCTGGCAATCCTGGCTGGAGGCTTCTCCCCGGAGCGGTGTTGCCAGGGGGCCCGGGAGGAGCAGGCTGCGGGGCTCTGCTGTTGGGGGAGGATTCCTGGGAATTCCCTCCAGCGCGTTGTGTGCCGTGTGCCCGCGATGGAAAGCTCCGCCCCGCCCCGCCCCAGGGAGCGAACCCAGGGGAAAGCTGCGGTGTTCCTGCTGTTCGGCAGAGCAGTGCACGGCTCTGTCCTACAGCAGGGAAGGAAAGTAGCTCTAAGCGGGGGTGTAAAAACGTAGTGGGTCAGTCACGTGCCCGAGAAGCCTAGGCTTAGCAGTAGTCATGTCATTTACTTGCTCCTCCCCCTCCCCCCCGCTGCCTCTGTATCAGAGGTAGCAAGCGGGGGGAGCAGGAACTAGTGCTGGGGGGAGCTGGCTTAAAACTGGTTCCCCCAACACCATCTCCAGAGTGCCACTCCGCCCCCTCCCTACAGCGTGGGGAGGCTGCTCCAGCAGCAGCCTGTCCACAGGGAGCCCCTGGGGCTGCTGGACCCAGCACGAGCAGGACTGAGCAAGCCCGTCTCAGTTCCAGCTTGCGCTGGGTCCAGGGCCCCCCCGCTGCAGCGCTGCCGTTGAAATGTCGTAGGAGCCAGGCTGCCTGTGCGCCCATTTCAACAGCTCACTCCTTCCCTTCCCGACCAACCGTGTAGCTGATCGAGATTGTATCGACTCTTCGATTACCCAATTACCTGCCCCCACCGAGCCCCTCCAGCTCCAGAGGTCCCCTCGCGCTGAGCCAGCCTGGAGAGCTACTGAAAGTCAATCAGAGCAGCCGTTGGTGCTCCAGGGCTGGGCAGCTTCCTGCGCTGCTGCAGTGAGCGGGGCGGGCGAGCGCGTTTCAGTCCCTGGCTGGCTGCGCTGTGCACCCGTAGCCCGCCGGAGCAGCTGCCAACCTGGCGGAGATGGCAATAGCGGGCTCTGCGTGAGTCCTGCACCCCTGTTGTGGCAGGGTGGGGCTGAAGCCGGCCCGTGGCCCACACAGCCGACGGAGTGCTGTCCTACACAGCTGCGGTCCAGGAGCTCGACTAGCGAGAACTCACAGGGGACAGCCCAGGCATGTGGCAGCCCTGACAAGCCCCTGCTCTCCCAGCGGGCTTTGCTGCACAGCCGCAAGCCAGGGGAAGGGCAGCAGCAGCTCCCGTGGCAGGAGGGACCCCAGACAAGTGGCTGAAATCCAGTTAGGTCAGTCCCATGGCTTGCTGGAGAGCTATGCTGGCTGTCCCGCCCCACAGCCTGGGGAGGGCTTGGCCTGGCTCTGCAGCAGCGTGGCGCACACTGCCGAGAGGAGTGGGCACCTTTGGGGTGAGGTATGCAGGCACCATGTCGGACGTGCGGTCACGTGTGTGCTTCTGCTGGGTGGCTGGGACTGGAGCTGCCCAAGTGAGGCTCAGGGCACAGGAACTAGCCAGTACTCTAATGCTCGACCCACAGACAGCAGCTCGGCCGTCCTGCCGTCTCTTAGCAACCTCAATCTTCTTTAAAAGCATTAAAAGAATCTGCACCTGTAAAAACCCATCCTCTGGAGAGGCCGGGCAAGCAGCAACCCTACCAAGCCAGCGTCCTTCACAGCCGGATTCGGCTGCTGGGGGTGGCTTAGAGCAATGCGGTTCCTCAGACCGACATTTCATACTTGCTATTTGTCTCTGCCCCCACCGAGCCAGGCCCACAGCTGCCCATTTCAGTCCCTGGCCTTAGAACAGCAGCCCTCTGGCGACCCTGCACCTGCGGCGAATCCCTGGCGTCTTCCGCAGCTATTAGCTTGGGTTTTGGCAGACAGCGCAATATTTTCACATTCTTGGACCAGGCTCTGCCTTCTTTGCATGAGGTCAGGGACCGAAAGGGGGAGAGTTAAACTTCTTAAAGCACCTCCCGCTCTCCCACAAAACCCACTCGAGCCCAGCCCAGGACCCTCTCTCCCCCGGAGGGCTGGGGTTAGTAAGCAGTGCAGTTATCCAGCTATCCGCTGCCAAGTCCTCGGGCAGGCCACCCCACGTCTGGAGGGCCTCCTGTTAGTTGCCATGTTATTGGCACATCTATAATTAAGACTGTTCTTTGCTTTGTCAAGGGGCTTCCTTCCCTTGGAGTAAACTTAAGAATTAATAGAAAAAAGTAATTGTGAAGCAATCCAGTCGCATCTGTAAGTCGTGTGCAGGAGCAGGCAGACTCGAGCGGAGTTGGCACTCAGATTCCTGGCTGGCTCCGGGCGGACAGAACCGCCCCTGGAAAGCAGCTAGAAGTTGGGCTTGGAGTGTCCGAATGTGCAGATGGGAAAGTGCTTGACGTGAGAGGACCACTGTGCTGCCAGCTGGAAGAACTTCACATCATGCCACTCCACGCCGTCGATCAGGACTGCAGGGAAGAACAGAGCAAGGGAGCATGACGGAGCACCCAGAAAGCCACCCCCAGAGGGTCCCTGGGCCGAATTCAGCGCCACTGCACCAGCCTTCCCCGCGCGGCACAGGAAGCACGCTGCCCTGCCAGCTAGGGAGCAGCAAGGCGAGGGAGAGGGCCAGCCAATTCGTATCGGCTGGGAAGTCCAAACGAAAAAAAGTCCGCGCGGCAGGGAGCGAGCGAGGCGGGTGAGGGTGCCAGCCAATTCGTATCGGCTGTAAAGTCCAACTGAAAACAGCTCGGCAGCTGGGTCGGGCAAGATGCCTGCTGTCACCTGCCCTCCCCCCCCCAAATGGGGGGAAAAGGGTCAGCTGGTTCGGTGCGTTATGGAGAAACGTGCCTCTTTCTCTCGCACAAGCAGAGCATACAGGATGGACCACTGGTTTGGCCCAGGAACAATGCCTATAGCCCGGAAGAGTTCACAACAGAACTTCCCAACGTTTTCCCATCCGACAACACAAAACTTCGGGGGCTCCGCCACAGAAAGAGGGCTGTCGGCAGCTGGCCTAGGCCTTAGCTAGGCGTTTCCAACAGACAAGTACCTCGTGGCTGTTCTAGTACCCAGGAATCAGTGGAGTGCCAGGGGCTCTGGCCACACCTGCTTTGCACGGGCGAGCTCCCCCGCCCGGAGGGCTGGCTGGCTCACTGCATCGACGGGTTTCCCCAGGATAGAAGACTCTTCCTCCAGCCAGATCTAGCAGGTTGGCACCTGCCCAAGCTGGCTGGCGGACAGGCACCCGAGCGCAGGTTCACGATGCAGCGCTCCCCTGGAGAGCGAATACTCGAGCACTTACCCCGCAGCATATTCTGCTGATGTTTCGCTGTGCAAATCAATCGACTGATTCCTTCAATGCACTGACTCTTCGACTCGACCTCCTTGTCTTTCGTTTTCTTGGGCAAAAACATCACTAGAAGCAAACCAAACAACACTGGTCCATCGCTGCCAGCCACAAGCGCTACTGCAACAATTCCCTACCCATACACGGAGCCTGAACTTTCCTCTAGGCAAGCCAAATGCCTGGCAAACTGTTGCTGCTGCCCATCCGTAACATTGCCAGTTAATCCATCACTCCCAATTCACTCCCTAGTTCACTTCCCAAGCGATTCCCCGGGAACCAACCGGAAGGGCGCGGTCTGATGCTGCAAAATCATCTACAAGGGCACAGGCTGATCGTGAGAGCAACACAAACGAACGAGCCTGCAATAACGAACAGAGCAATTCAATCTTGTGCTCCCAGCCATCGAACAGCACCCAGCAACAGTCACAACTGCACAGCTGGCTAGTGCATGGGGGTCTTCAGCGTGACTGTCCAGTATTAGCCATCCTTGGACCACAGACAGATTCATTAGGGCAGAATCTGTGCACTCATGTCTGGAAACGTTTCCTTGCGGTCTCAAGGGAATGGACGCAACAGTGCCTTGGAGAAACGGCCCTGCAGCAGGAAGGGGGAGATGCTGATTCATGGATGTTTGGGCTCGATAAGGAAAAAGCACAATGAACCCACCTGGGAGATGGCAAGGCTCAGGGGGCGTGACTTGTCCCATGGTACAGCAATGAGCTTTTACTGTGCAGGGGCAAAGCAGATTAGGAGACCAAACCCATGTGATGTGATTTGCTGGTGCCCAACACGGTGAGTCACCCCCGCACACAACAATAAGGTCACACCTCTAGACACGCAAGCCAGCAGGCCTAACGGGTGCCTCAGGGCTGGGGAGCAAGTCCTACCGGTACAAACCTGGGCAGACCTGGCCCAAGAGCCCAGCTCGCGCAGCGTCAGCAAGACCCAATGGAGCAGTGAGCCTCTTACCCTTTTTGTTCTTCTCCTTTGTCACGACGGTCATTGACATGGTTGGAGTGCTGGTGGTCTCCCCACACGTGGGTAACCTGCTGACCTGGAGAGACCGGAAAGTGCATTTGAGTGTATTTTTGGCAGCAGAAGGATCCTTCTTCTCCGGGTCTTTCTTCTTCTCCATGGGCTGAGCTGCAATCCAGTAATCCAGCTGCAGGCCCATCAGCTCAGCACCAAGGCTTTGGCTGAAAGATGGGAGCAAAGCGTCATTGCCACATGCTGACGGACAGGATTCCCATCAAAAAGATGATCAAGGGCCTGATGTTTACCTGCGACTAGTGATCCTGGCTACCCAACCTCCCTTCAGGTGGCCAGTGCTCAGCTTCCTTGGCAAGTCAGACCCCTTGGACAGCTCTCAGGATGGGACCTGAGGATGGTCAGCACCTGGGCACAAGCAGCCACTTAGGACAGGCTAGACCAGAGTCAAGGAAGCTGCGTTACATGGCTGAGAGCCAGGGACCACTGCGTGTACTAATTATATTTAACTAGGCAACTTCCTTTCCTTTGCTTTCACTGCAACCCTGAGAACTGCTGTCAGATGGTTCCTCAAAGCGCAGCCAGTTTCCTTTCTGGGTGACGGCACCCTGCAGGATGCAATCCCCAATACACTTATGAACTGTCTCTGTTCCTGGCTGTAGAACTGCATCTCAGGGGGGTGAAACACTGGAACGAGTTGCCTGGGGAGGCTGTGGAATCCCCATCCCTGGAGATATTCAAGAGCAGGTTGGACACACACGTCGGAGAGGAGCTAGACGGTGCTTGGCCCTGCCGTGAGGGCAGGGGACTGGACTCTGACTTGAGGTCCCTTCCTGTTCTAGTGTTCTACGATTCTATGATGTGGCAGTATTAAAAACCAAAACATTTTGCGTGAGGGGACAGATCACCGACAATCCCAGTTGTGCCGTATGACTGCCCTGTCCCGCCAATCTGTGTGCCAGCTGCACCTGGATCAGTTGTGATTTTACGTTTATTTGGTATTTCTATCCATGATCTGGAAGACAACCTGGAGATCTGCCAGCCAGTTCTTAATCTCCAGGATGTGCTCTACCCATCTTGCAGTGCTTGTGCTCAGCAGAGAGTCAGGCAGTACTAATGCTGCAGCGACTTACACCAGCCAGCCCTGCAGTCTCTCAGAATGAGATCGGGCGGGTTTGGCAAGGCCCGTTTTCCACACAATCACACGGACTGGCGTTAATTGCATTCCTATCCTCAAATTCTTATCAACTTCCCCGCAGGACGGACGCCAAGCCAGCCAGCCTACCGGAACCTGCTCAGCCCACCTGCCCATTCTGAGTACTGACACAACATCAGCACACTTCCATCTTCTGGGATTTCTCTGGCATCCCACAGCACGGTGGGTCCAAGGTATACGCAACTCCAGTTTGTGTTGCTCCTCTCTGACCTCCCTGCATCTCTTCCAAGTACGAAGTAGCCAGAACTGACCGATGTCACAGCTGCACGGAGTGGGGCTGAGCGCTGTGTATCCAGCCCAAGTGTACTAGGCAGCCAAAAGCCAGCATCCGACTACACAGCTCATTTAAATCAGTCTCCATCAGCAAGCCCCAGGTCCTTCTGCACTTACTGCCTCCCACTGAGCAGTCAGGATGATTTGCTCAGAATTTTAGTAGCTGCAATTTCTCAAGCCAAATTTCATTTCCCCATATTCCTAATCTCCTGTGGTCCCTCCTATTTCCTGGGCTGGCGTTGGCAGCTCCTCCCTGGTTAAATGTCATCTGCAGCGGTCAGGAACATCTGGACAACTCATGGTTTTGCACTGCTCAGCACCTCAAGGACCCGTCCGAAAGAGGCTCTACTGTGCTGGCTGCTGTACGAATTCCGGGCGCGTTCCCATCCAAGACATTACGAAGACCTACCAGGTTCCCAGCCACGTCCTGTCAGGCTTCGGGAGGGCCCTGGCTCCAGCAGTTACTATCCCGTGGACTAGCCCTGAGCTAGACTGAGAGTAGCAAACGCTTTACTAAAATCCATGGCAGGAGGCCCGGAGAGCACCCTGCTTTCTACACCTTCTCCAAGACGCGAGGGGGGAGGTTTCCAAGCCAACTGGAGACCTCGAAGGCGAGACTACCGTTCCGTTTGAGGAGGACACTAACAGGTAAGCTGGGGTAAAGCTGCAGATGAATGCAGGCTGGCAGGCCCTCTGCCCAATGGCCCAACCATCTCCCAGGCAGACGCGGCAAGCAAAGCCCAGCCTGACCACCAGCCCCAGATCCCTCCCAGTAGCCACTAGTTAATACTCAAGTGAAGCAGGGTTCATCTTCACAGGGTGCAGCTGTTACCCATCCGCAACCTGCCCTCCGGGCGCATGTGTCGTCATAGGAGGCATCCCCCCCCCCCACTTACTTTCTACAATCAATTGCGCACCTGATACCACAGACTAACCGAATAAGCATGGGGGAGGTTGTCCTAAACTCTGCTTACACACTGGATATGAAATTGCTTTACTTCTACTTGGGGGAGGCCCCGCCAGCACGGCTACGTCGCAGACCAGACGTGAGCCTATGCCACCTGACAAGTGAAGCGGAAAGCAGAGGTGGATTTGGAGTGTAAAACAGGTGTGATTTTCTGCTACCAAGGCAGTCCCGTTCCCACTGGAGTTTGCGCAGAGGCTCAAGAAGGGGGCAGGGTGTGTGCGCAGAGGGCTCGAGGCAGGGGATGGGGATGCTGCAGGCTCTGAGCAGCAGGCCCGGCTGTCTCTCGCCAGAGCGGCACACTGGGGTGCACCCCCTCACTGTCCCCTCTGGCAGAGACGAGGGACGGCGGGCTGCAAGGAGCCTTGCACCGTACTGTGGAGAACAGGGAGAGAAGGAGTTTTACCTGGAGGAAGAGAAGCTGCCTGTAACAGACGGTGAGGAAGGCGGGGTGGGGGAAGCATCCTTCACAGCAGGAGACACAGAAGGCGGGGTAGAGGAAAGGACACTGGAACTAGAGGGAGCCGCATCATCGGAATCACCTTAAAAAGAGCAGACCGACCATTTGCCCATGTAATCGCCTGGGTTCTCTGGCCAGTCGGCCCCGGGCGGGGCAGGGCGGCTACACCTTGCGCCCAGGCCACTGGCTCATCCTGGGTCTGTTTCACAGCACCGCTGGAACCACGCTTCCCTGCCTAGCTCCTTGCGAGTGTTTGCTTTTGTGTCTGACTGTTCCTTTCCTGCCATCCTGTGGGAGCGCGCGACGGCACCCAGCTGAGCTCAGGGATGCACTTTTCTAAGTGCGCGTTTTCATGAACACCCCGCGAGGACACCCCTACTCAGGGTTACCCGGGCATTTACCACCTGAATTGAAGCTGTTCCCAGAGCACCAAACTAAGCCAGAGAAAGGCCCTTTGGTAGCAGGCCAGTATGTGCACACAGGGAGCTCAGGGCTAGTCACACCTCGCCTTCGGGGGTGGAACTTCCTCCCTGCCAACAAGCCCTAAGGTGCCATGGCCTTGGCCTTGCACAGTCAGGCACATGTAGCGTAGCGCGGGGTGCGGGCCAGCGAGGCGACGCAGGCGGCATTACCTGATGTTGCTGAGGACTGTTCCACTATCCCCACCTTGACCACCTGGAATGGAACAGACTGTTAGTTTCTAAGCATTGGCCGGCTCCGTCGCTTGGAAACGGAGCCCGAGGCCGTCTCCCGTCGCCCTGGTGGCGCAGCGGGCGAGGAAGACAGCTCAGGTGGGCAGTGGAGTATGGGGCTGGCCAGGTAGCATTTGAGGCTGTTAACTGGGTGTGTTCTGTAACTGAACACAAACTGAGTTCAGGGGACTGGACCAGATGACTTTGAGGCCCCTCCAGTCCTATGATTCTATTTACTTGTTCTAGGTACCAGGCAATTCTGTGTCTCCACAGAGCAAGTGGTACCCAAGTGCGTACGTGAAATGCCAAACTGGCTGCAGAGAGGAGTGAGACTTTTCAATCTGAGGGATTCCTCAGCTCAATTCCAGGAAGGGCCTGGCTGGTTTCATTTTTAAAACAGAGGAAACCCTCTTGAGAGCGCAAATGTTTGCAGCGGAGATCGTAGGAGATGGATTCTTCATCTCCTGAAGCCTTCAGATCAGCACTGGCTGCCTTTCTGGAAGATTTGCTCGAGTCAGAGTCCCGGGGCAGCATGTGAAGTTCTACAGCCTGCGTTCTGCCACAGAAAGTCAGACTGGAGGATCTCATCATGCCTTTGAATCACGGATCCAAGTCAGAGTGCTGACAAGCAACCTTGTTTTATGAAATGGACCAAAGCAAATACTCACCCCAACAAAGGGAATGAACTTCTGGGACGATTCTTCATCAGGGCTAGAAGTAATGAGGAGAAAGTCATTAGTAAGGAGTTCTTTCAACCTCAAGGCAAAATTCATGTTCATATTTCAATCAAGCATGCAGCAGGAACTGAAAATGCACAAGCACCAATTCTATTTCTTGTCTCCACGTCCCCCTGCCAATACTCCGAGAGCCCCCACCGGCTGGGGATATCGTACTCCTCGGGGGGTTCCACCCTCCTTTTCTTTGGAGAAACTTGCTTTCATGACCGGGCAGTGCTACACTCACACACGTGGCCTCCTATTGCAAGGAAATGGCAACACAGCACCAGCAACACACAGACCTGAGGGTGACGGACTAGCAACCAACATCCTACAAACACAAGCCCAGCCTGAGTCCCACGCCACAGTCCAGTGGCACCCCTTGCGGCTCCCAGAATCACTAACCCAGGCAGCCTGCCGCAGATTAACGAGCAGGGCACCACACATCTCTGAACCCCGCCTCGAGCGCTATGCAGAAGCACAGCAGGCCCCAGCGTGGGCACCGAGTGCTCGAGGGAGACCCTGTCGCTTAGGAAGCTAACGATGCTGTGGCCTCGAGATGAGCGGCAGGCAGTGGAGTGGGACGGAGACGAGATGTCCCTCGTCTGGCCCGGGGGCAGCAATGGCAGGACTCTCACTGTGCGAGCCCTGCCCAGCAGTCAGGACCATGGAGAAGGGGAGAGAGTTGGTCTGTGGAGCAGGAGAGGGACACTTGGGAGGCAGGGAGTGGAGCGGGGGAGGCAAATCTGGCAGTTGGGGGGAATGTAGCGACTGGGGACTACGAGAACACAGCAGAGCTGCAGCCCGACCCCGGAGAGGAAAGGGGCCATGCTCCTTCCACTGTCCTATGCCCATGCACAGAAGGAATGTGCTACGTGCACCCATACAGAGACGTGTCACCGCCCCCTCCGTGGCAGAGGTGGGGCCCAGGGCTCGGAACCTGAGAGGGGGCTCCGGGTTGGGGGGGATGAGGGCTCTGTGATGGGGCTGAGGAGTTTGGGGCACAGAGGTGAAATCTGAGGCTGGGAGTGTGGGATCTGGGATGGGGCAGGGGATGAGGGATTTGGGATACAGGCTCCCCAAGAGATGGGGCTCACCTGAGCAGCTCCAGGTCAGGTGTGAGGTGCCTCTGCTGGCTGGGGCAGCTCCAGCAAGGCTGAGCTGGGGGAGAACTTTGGGAGGGCACCTCTCCCCCACTGCAGAGGCTCTATAATCAGCAGCCCAGAGCCCCTGGATGGGGCATGGCCGTGCAGCCGAGAGGGAACCCCAGTAAGGGCCCAGTTGCACCGTGTTTCCCCTTGGAGCACCCCCAAGAGGCAGTGTTGTCCCATGCCCAAAGGGTGGGCATGGCTGAACCCAGCAGAGGGAGCAAGGCTGCCAGCGTGGGCGTTGGCGGAGACGGGGCTGAGCTCCGGGCCCGGGCAGCGCGCCCTGCAGCGAGCGAGGGGAACGTCTCAGACACCCCGCCCTGCTCAGTGCTCACTGGCACTGGAGGTCTACTGGCCAGGAGCCAGCTGTCTGTGCCACCGTGGCACTACCCTCCACCACCGTCTCTGACCAGGCTCCGCAACAGCCTGGCCCTGGCCCCCGGCCGGCAGCTCAGCAGCTCGCTAGCAACCAGGAAGGGGAGCTCGCCACAAGCAGCAGGCCTGTACCTGTCACTCACATGATGCGCTGCCCAAGGAGCTGACTTCACAGCGTTTCCAGGAGCCAGCTGTCTGTGCCACCGTGGCACTACCCTCCACCACCGTCTCTGACCAGGCTCCGCAACAGCCTGGCCCTGGCCCCCGGCCGGCAGCTCAGCAGCTCGCTAGCAACCAGGAAGGGGAGCTCGCCACAAGCAGCAGGCCTGTACCTGTCACTCACATGATGCGCTGCCCAAGGAGCTGACTTCACAGCGTTTCAATCCCTTCCCTCTTTGCCAAGCCTAGGGCCTGGCTGCTCCCACACCCCTAGCTACCCCGGCGTGCCCCAGAGAGCATGGCCCGGGAGTGGGGGAGGGTGCAGGGCCCCGGTGTGCTACCCTAGGCTTGGGACGACAGCTGGGCCGCTCGGCTCGCAATGGGAGAGAGGGAGAGAGTGTTTAGCGACACATCACAAGCTCGCGGTAGCTTGGAAAGGGGCCGTAAGCAGCCGACTCCGCAGTACACGCGAGCAGGGCCAAGCGGCAGCCTGGACTCGTGCTAATGGCACCCCGAAGCCCCAGGAGCAAACCGCAGGGGGCTCGGAATTACCATGGGCAAGACTACCGTTGCCTTCCACGAGGCGTGAACTCGTGCTGAGCTGGCCAGACAGCGCCTGCGAGGGGCTGCCGGCAGGCAGGAGTCCGACGCCGAGCCCGGCCGGCTGTACAATAGAGCGGCTCCTCCCACACACCAGGCGCCACAGCAGCACAGCTCTGGGACTGGCCGAGGGGCCTTCTATACTGATGTACGGCCACCCCTGCCTGCGTCGACTTGGGGCACCAACCTCGCTACGGAGTGACATTTCTCACTCGCAGAGCGGTGTAGCTAGCTCCACCCACCTTTCAGGTGGAGCCCAGGCCTCCTACAGCATCAGGCGAAAAAGGGCTGACTGACTGATCCCATCTAATCACCCTGGCCTGCAGCCGCCTTCAGCTCTCCTATAACTACACTGTTTCTCCTCCTCCCCACCCAGCAGAGAGCATGTCACCCGAAAATCATTTCCCCCAACCCCTTCCCTTGCCCCGTCTCTGCGTGCTGGGAGAGTCAGCGGTCGTGCCAACAAACTGGGGCAAAGCTTTCAGACAACACGCAGCCTGTCACAGGCAGTACATGCTCCCGTCTTGCCAGGGCAAGCAGAACAAGTGGGCGGGGAGAGGATCAGAAGTCGGTGCAGTTGGGAAGGACTGGCAGAAAACAAAGGACCAAGCAGCTCATTACATAAGGCTAGGCTCTGGAGACTGGCGTCTCTCGGCTTGGGGTTTCCTCAAATCACTAGACCACGTTCAACAGGGCACGGGCCAGGATGCTGGGGAGATTTTCAAGTGTTGCTAAAAAGCAGCTTTCTATGAGCTTGCAGATTAGAGCTGCTGCCTGCAACGTGGAACTGCCCAAAGGCCGAGTCGCTCTGAAGAGGCCTGGTGAAGGGAACCCAAACGCCAGACAGGCGGAGCTGGGGCAGAATGCAGCGTCTGCCAGACCACAAACACCAGTGAGGCAGAGAATCTAATGCCTCCAATGTCTCTTGCTACTTTCTCCTTTGCCCTCCCACCTCCTTGCCTTAGAAGGATATGAAAAGCTAGCCTGACTCCATGGCTCTGTGCCCTTCCAGGAGCTAGGTGTCTGTTCTTCCAGACTGTTCCTGGGAAGGGAACAGCTGGCCTGTCATCTTGCATCATCCACATGCTTCTACTCCAGCCAAAGAGGTTTCAAAACCTGCAGTCGCCGGGTCCCAGGCTTCAGCCTGAGCCCAAACATCTCCCAAGTAATGTTTGGCTCCGCAGCCCGACTCAACTGACCTGGGCTTTTATCCTAGTGTAGCTGTCTACTTAGGGGTATGCTTGGAGCCACTATGGGGAGCCAAGAACAGCCTTTAAAATGGCACTTAAAATCTTAGTTTGGTTTGGATCCTTCCTGTACTACCAGAAATCCCCTAGTAGCTGTGAGGGACGTTTTACCTAGACGATAAAAGGCGCACGATCAACATAAAAGCCACTGATAACACTTATACCTGCACTGATATGTTAAAACCAAAATCCCTGGCAATTCTCATCACTAGGACGTACAAGTTACCTATTAACGCCACGTCCATTTTGACAGCAGACACCAGACTGGCTCGTTTAACTTGCAAAGTCTCATGCCTTCAAGTGTTATTGGCCCAACTTCATTTCTACTTCTACATACATTTCCTGCACCTCCCACATTTTGGTTCCCCAAACAATTGGCTACGTGGTCCTTGGAAGGGTGCATTCTGCCAAAGGCGGGAGGATCAAAATGAACAAACAAAATTTCATCTGAAGCACAAGTGAAGCGTCCCAGGCCTGCAGGAGCTGTTCAACAAGGCAGAAAAGACCAGCCCAGGAAAGGCATACAAGGTACAGGATGGGAAGGGCACCTAAGAATGGATACCTTATGGTAAAATCAAAATGAAAGCTCTTTTTCCTTTTCAGAAAGCAACCAAAAGAAAAAAGTGAAGACATTATTATACTTACGACAGAAAGGAACGCATTCCTCTGGAGTCCTGCGCGCATGTTCCTTTAAGAAGTCATTCCCCCAAGTCACTGCCAGCAGCAGTGAACATCAATTCTTAAGGCAGCCAGGGGTGCGAGATAATGACCCATCACTCCTTGCAATAGATTGCTTCTCTAACCTCCAATTCCCTAGGTGGTACTGGGCTGGAAGCAAGAGTTATTTGTCCAGACCCACGCAGTGTCTAGAATCTAATGACCCCATGTTTTAGCCAGGAAGTAAAAACATCAGGGGATGAGGACAAATACAACTCTATTATTTCACCCAAGGTACCCCAGCAGACCACGGCACAGCGCCCCAAGAGGAACTGTAGGGTATGCTGCCAAACGGGAAAAGGGTAACTTTAGTCTGGCTCAAGGGAACAGCCAGACAGCCTGATGGAGTGGGAGGGCGGACAGACACAGGTGCAAACAGAAACCAGCACACTTGAAAGAAACCTCAACAGTGCATCTAAGACAAAGTTAGCCCCTGGTAAGATCATCAAACAGGCTGGTGCCAGGGGAACATCTATCAGGGATGCTTTAGATCAGTGTTTCTGAAACTTTTTAAGACCGAGGAACACCAATTTTTTTAAAATGGGGAACACCAAGGATTTTTTTGTTGGGGGGGAGGGGGAACCCTCACACCACACGTGCCCCCAGGGAAAAGCTGACAAAACAAATCTGCTTTAAGAAACACTGGTCTAGATGGTCTGGCTCCTGCCGTGAGGGCACGGGACTGGATTCGACGACCTCGAGGTCCCTCCCAGTCCTAGTGTTCGATGCTGTCTAGCGAGACAGAATGTTTTCAATGAAGTATCGCTTACAAAATAGATTCTTAGACCAAGCAACCTGCAAATGGCAGAAAGTCATCATGTGGGTGAAGTTGTTAAATGGGCATGCACCTTATAAACAGGAACCAGTAGCAGAACCGGAGGAGTCAAGGGGGACCCAAACAAGAATACAGAAGTTAACGCATGCAGGAAACACAAAGGCAGCAGTAGCATATGAAGTTAATGCTACAGTAAAAGATATTGAATTTTTCCCTGCTTTATGTGGCGAGAATGCAGTTTCATTCATAAATGAGGAGTGAGACAATCAACCATGATGGTTAAGCAACCAAATTGCTAATGTGTTGTCATTAGGTTAATATTACAGAACAAAATTTGTGGAGGAAGTAAGGGGGACATTAAAATATAGCTAATGAGAAAAGCAGGTTAGAGTATGAAATACTCGGCAACCGGCAGGTCTGGTGATACCTAGTTGAGGGGGGTGAGTGTGAACTAAAGACTTCACTGAATCAGTTAGACACGGGAAGAGAGGACGGCAAACAAATACGGTGCCAACTTTCAAAGGAGAGAGAGAAGTTATGGGTAACTACAGCTTGTAAATTTAGCTTCTACTCCTATCAAAACGGAGCGCAGAGGAACAACATGGCGTGTCTCAAAGTCCCAAGTTCTGCACCAGTTTAGGAGGGATCATTAAACTCCGCTGTCCCGTGAGACACAACTGCTGTATGTGCACTGTCTGTCAGAGTACCGCAGGCAGGCAAAGCTACCTTGTGAACTGAAGCAATCAGGAAATACAAGAGCTCAATCGTGCTAATGTCAGATGATGTTACCTGAACAGGTAAGAACACTCCCATGCCACCACACGGTGCTTCGCTGCCGTATTTGGGCACAGGGGCTTCTGCCCCACAGCTCCTCTGGCCTGGCCCCTATCCTGTGCTCTCCTCTCAAGCCCTGGGTCTGTGCCAAGGCTCACATGAACCCTGCTGAGCCCCAGCCGGCCTGGCTCCAGCCTCCATAAGGCTGCAGCTACCAAGGAGAGGAGCAGCTCTCCTCCGCCTGTCAGGTGGGAGCTCGGGCAGTATTCTCAACCCACCCAACGGCCATGCTCAAAGCCAGGGCTTGGCACCAATCCTGAGGCGGCAGAGGCCGGAGACATTGGGGGAGGGCTAGGGAGAGCTCCGGGGCCTTCCCCTCACAAAACACTGGCACCATAAGTGAAGCCAGATCTCGGAATCCTTTTGCATCTGAAGACCAAGCCGGTCTATAGGCTCCTCCCAGGAGGGTCTTCTCTGCAGACGCACTCAAGAAAATGGGCAGATTTCTGGTTGTTCTAGCTAGCTGGTGCCAGGCTCGGTGCCAGGTGCTACTGCCTGCAAGGCTTGCTGAGCTGACCGTGCAGGCTGTCTCTCACAGGTTTGGGGTGGTCCCTGTATGTGTGTAACAAGAGAACGGAGAGCTGGTTCCCCCTCGCCGTGTGGAACCCTTTACTGAAATAACGTACCTTTTCTGTTTGTACGTCAACATTGCTTCTGCAATAGGCAACTGGTGTGCACAGTTTGCCCCGGCTATATACTGGGTTATTCTGGAGACAATATCTGGTGTTTCCTGAACTGCAACAGAATGAAAAGAAGAGACAGAAGCAGATAAGGACTATTCTTCACTAACGGAAACTATCAAATGTCACCAGCAATTCAAACCATGCAAGATCAACCAGAGCAGGAAAGAAACAGGGGACAGAGCCAGCCATTTGGGTCAAGAACGGGGCAGTGGAAAGAGGGACTCAAATCTAGAACAGGTTTCCAAACAAGGCGCCAGCCAGAGCGGACAATGAGAATGACGAATGCAATCAGTGCCGTGCGCCCCTCCCCAGGGGTCAGGATGGGGCTGGGGAAAAGGTACCACTCACAGCAATAGGAGTCTCACGCCTGTGCTAAGGAGACGGCCGTGGGAGAGGGAGAACGAGGGTCACCCGCAGTATCGTGCTGGGCTTGGCCCCCACACAGAAGGCAAGTCCAGTATTTGGACTCAGTTATTCACAGAAATAATGCAAATTCAGGCTCCCCCTATGCTAAAACTCACTGACGCTGGGTGCAGTGGCTACCTCGGGAGAAATCTTCGATTCACATTTTGTTGTTGTTCATAAACTAGGAGCGGTCAACAAAGACTTCCCCCTCCTTATGTTCTCAATGGAACCCAAGTGACCTAGCACGCCCTCTTCTGGCCTGGCTACCACCTAGCATTGTTGCCAAGGAGAGCGATGTAACTTGATGGCTTGGCTCCCATTCAGTGGCCAGTTCAGAGTACTTCTTTATCAAGAGAGGGCGCTTGGGGCTTTTGGGGGGGAAAGGCAGCTCTTGAATTTCTCTGAGGATTGTCATTCTTCAGCCTCTAGAGAAAGTGTCAGGTATGGGAAAAAAGCAACAAAACCACCATTCTTCCTGAAAAGCATCTTCAGACTTGACCTATGCTGAGCAAGCACTGAGTGGAAAGCTCTGGAGAAAACGGATTGGTTAAATAAATGACAAGCCTTTGAAAACTCTGTGCTACATGTGAAGCACCATTTGACAGTCCCACTCTCCCCCGTGAAGCGCACAGCCACGGAAGGTCATGCTGCACACGTGCTTATCCATTACAAGATCACATTTTCTTCTACAACCTGGAACTCTCACGTCTCGGTGCATACCAGATACATGGAGTTCGTTATAAGGAAGAACAGAGTAAGTTCTTACATGGGCATAAACAACATCGTTTTACTGGTATATTTTGCTCACTTAAATTTGTAGCTAAGCCTGTTTCAGAGTTACCTGTTTGCACCCACAAATGCAACTAAGGCTGGATGAAGAGAAAAACCTGTGTGCTTTGGACTAGAATTAGGGCCCGATTAAATTCACGGTCCATTTTAGTCAATCCTGCAACCCCTTTAAAATAACCTTGCAATCCCAGCCTCGCCCCAACTCCCTTTTGGGTCAGAACCCCTGATCTGAGAAGTGCTGGTATCCCTCCCGAAATCTGTGCTGGCCAGGGGAAAAGCACACACAAGGAAAGATTTCCTGGGGGAGACCCGACTTCACAGTCCAGGGTCTAGTTTTCATGGCTGTGCATTTGGAAGGGCCCCACTAGAATGGAAATGATCAGCTTAGTGGAGTTGCAAGGAGAGTTTCTTTCCAAGCTTTATTTTTATCCCATAGCTGCCAATTGAAGAGAAACAAGCTATTGTGACCGTATGTGCTTCCTCAGACAATTTCTCTTTGATGGAAGCTCTAGAACAAGGCCACATAACTAATCAAAACTGACTTTTCCCATGCTCAGAACTTCAGCTTTTTCTCCCTAAAAGTTAACTCCGCAGCCTCTGACCAAGCACTTCTGCAGCGGCCTAAAGGAAAGAATGGGTTTTGATCAAACGATCTGGAACGGGCACGGGCACGGAGCGAATGGTTGTCAACAGGCCTGCCATGCAAAGCTTCATGGATGCAGCTTCATTTGCTGAATGCCTCCCACACTAATGCAACTGCATTGACACTGAACGGCTTTACCCATAAGCCAGCTCTGTTCCTCTCCCGCAGGACTTTACGGGGCTAAATAAGGCAAAACGCCTACACTCTTGGCTCCCAGGACCTCACTGAGCTGCTCCAAGCACCGAAGTCTCAGGAGGCCGGGCTCTCTATGAAGTGCAAGTCAGTGTTGTCATTAGCTGAGATTATTAATTGGCAGAGTAATGGAAAAGAGGAGGCTGCTTCCCTGTAACTGAGACTCCCCATCTGCACTGCGCAGGCCCACCACCTGCCGAGTCAGGAGTGCACAGCAGCGTCCAGCGACCCACACGTGCACCACACGTGAGCTCATGGTGCAGGACGACCCCCCGTCGTCCTCCTCTTGCTGACCACAGCAGAGGGAAAGGAGACCAGGGCCTGGAGTGCAAATAGTG